TGTAGGACCGGTTTCTCAGGTAGGCAACCTGCCTACAATCCCTCCAGTTAATGTGCTTGGGCACATGGCAGCTGTCCCGGAGTTTGTCCTGCCCTATTTGTGGAAAATACATGTACTGTTTCTGAAATAACTTGTTGCCACTTGAGTCTTGACTGACTCTGCTTATGTCACTATAGGCAGCCTTAAAAGTGCACTCCGTAAGTTTTTATTTACTTTTAGCTATTTAGGCTGTTAATAGTCCCAATAGTACCAGTGGTTTTTACCTTTATACTGAGTCTCATGAATTTCAGCATAGTGGCACCCATTATGGGATAAAACCAGCTCCATGTAGAATAAACAGCTTTCTTTGGACTGACATGCTTAAATGTCTCAGTGTACATCACATGCTGTTCATTTCTCCAAAATCAATTAAAATATAAATAACAATAATAATTAATTAGCAAAAGTATTTAGTGCTTCTTTAGAAGTGGTTTGCTCAATTTAAAACCAGTTCAGTGTTTTAAATCAGAGTTTTCAAATGTTAAATGTAATGTAATGGAAATATTGCAATTAAGTGCGCATTTGGAATCCTTAAAATTTGGATTTATCCGCAACCTGTTGTTCTTTGGAAACCATGTTGAAGCGATTAAAGGTTTAGTTGCTCGATTCAAATTAATTCAGGGAGTCAGTCTGTTATTTGGCAGTGTTATTTATTCAGGAATAAGAGTAAATAAAGCACAGTAGATGATTTCTCTCGAATCTCTCCATCTTATGAGATGTGACATTTGATCATGGCTCTTGTGGGAAGGGGACAAATACCACAGTTCTTCTCCTGATCCTGTTCAAATGGAATGACACAGATCTGAATATGCTGGAGTCACTTTTGGTGCATGGATGGATCGCATAACAGGTCTCCACTTTGCTTCACAGGGGTGGTCTCTTGTGCCCCCACAATGGATGCAGACATTCGGAAGCCAATTGTAGTGAGGGACAGATTTAACGATGTCTTTGTGTGGATTAATTGCCTGGAATTACTAGATTCTCGGTGCAAGACCTGTTCAACAAGAGCTCTACTCCCCCATTGACAGAGATGGTTCTCCCCATTCCCAAACAATCACACGCACGCGTACGGGCTAATTCCCTTTTTAGAATGAACTGATTCACATTTTCCTAGAATGCTATATACAGTATAACACAGCTTTCAGTATGCGCATTATACATTGACTTTCAGGGACCAGCTATTTGTTTTTTTAAATTGCTTTTTAAACGTAGGCCTACGCCTAATGTAAATATAGCGCAATCTGTTGAGGTTCTTTTTTTGCAACGAAAATCTAGCTATTTGTTTACCTAAAGAAAAAACTTTTTGAACAAAAAGCAAAAGTTTTTTTTTATTGTATGTTTGTAAAATAAATAGGCATGATGTGTGGTGCATTATTGACTTCCGCCAGAAAGCGCAAAAGAAAGCGCGTGACTGGCGTGCTGTTGCTATGGTTACCTGTTTATTTGCGGATTTGGCAACAGTTTTAGAGTAGCCTACATGATCAAACTAACCTTGTAATCTAACTAAAACATATTGTACGTTTGTTTAACTTGTTTAAACCTCTATTTAGGCTACCTGTATGAAACAATATGTAGGCTACTTCTACTAAGATCCCCCCCCCCCCCCCCCCCCTTTTTATCTACCTTAATTGCAAGATATTTAGTCAATCTTAGCTCTTTCTACGTTCCAGGTGACCAGACCGTCCGTCAATGATTGGCGTAACTATGAGAAGAGTTTGATTATTGTATGATTTAAAGCATGTCTTTGTAAAATGTAATTAATTATTTTCAATCAGTATTTGAACATGACCGGGATCTTGTGTGAAATCCACAGAGGGAAATATGTTGATGTATGTGGAGACAGTTACCTAATTAGACCATAAAAAATGGAATCTTTGCAGCATGCGGGTCATATAATTACTGTTAATTTAACGCTCAGATTCTCTGTCATTAATTTTTATTCCCTTAAATGTAGTTTGGCAGCGGCTCCTGGAGCTCAGAAATAGATTTCACTGTATTCGAGAGCGCGCTGGCCCTTCCAAATGAATTACCATAGACCCCACAGTCCAAATAACAAGACTCGCATCATTTATGCGTTGTTAAGCCATGTAATTGAACGATCCATAGTTTGCATATTATACCATTAAAGTAATGTGCTTTGGTTTTCTCCCAACACGACTATTTAAGCTTCTGTGGCGTTGTGGTAATTCTCTGAATTACAACCTTAATTGCCATAAATGTTCTTTTGATTTGGGTGATTTCACTGTTACGCTACAATGATGTTCATTATTACGCGGATGAATTTCCGGAACGTGTCTTTAAAGTTTTCTCTCTTTTTTCGTTTTTTTTTTCACACTTTACTTTAACCCCCATGCGCTTGAACACAATTAGTCTGACTGGATATTGTTTTTGCGTCTTTTGGCGGTTTTCCCTGGTTGACTGACATGTGCTTCTTGTTTTTTAGTGTTTGTGATTTGTCCAATTTTATTTCATATTTTGATATCGGAAAATCATAAAACAGGTCATGTAGAGCACTTTACAACAAGAACTTTGGAAGTTTTTTTTTTTTTTTTTTTTTTAACAAATGAATTGTAATATTTCAAACAAAATTAGCCCATAAACATGTTTACATTTAAAGGCTATAAACACTAAACATTAATGCTCTCTTTTATAAGTAGCAACATTTATTTTAATTAATTTAATATATTTCATTTCGCCTATAAAAGGCTGATGATTATCATGCTTAAGTAAGCTTAAATGTGTTGAGAGTTTTTGCAGACCTATGTGACTTTATTGGGTTTCCTAGCTTGTTTATCATGTTGGCTGTGATGCGTAATTTGACGGTGCTGTAGGCCTACGCCTTGCATGCTTTAAAGTTCATTAGTTGTGCAAATTACACGTTATTTACTGCCTTTGAACAAGTTCCTTAAAATCAGTTGATCTCTCTCTCTCTCTCTTCCTCACTCTCCCCCTTTCTTTTTTGTTTCTTTTTGTCTTTTGTCCATTACCCATTCTGATTTACGTAGAGCCTTCCAGAGGAGGCGATACTGGTGACGTATGAGGCGTTGTTTAATTTACTGCTCTCTATAGCAACCAGCAGCGCTGGTGAAAAAATGTCCCCCTCCTCGGACAATGTCGTGTGCTTTTCTTTACAGAGGCTCACAGAGGAGCCAGCTGGTCAGCTTTAGACACCTGCGGTCCCAAACGGCCCACTCTTTTCCCTCGGAAATATTCCTTTGACGTGTGCTACACCATGTAAACCCAGAGAGAGAAAATGGATTTAAAAAAAGATTTATGGAGGCAGTTGTTGGCTAAAAGAGATTTGTAATTAGATATTGAAAATACCCATTAGATGTATGGAGTAATTATATTTATAGAATTATATATTTAATTAAATTAGACATAAAAAGTAATATAAATCTACTTGTCACTTGCTTCTCCGAATAAATGGCACTAAAAGAACCATGCTCTGCACATGTGCTTCTGTCAGTCAGATGTGTCATGTTTGAACAAAATCGACATCTTTGTTTTATCTGGGATCACTTAAAGTTTTATCTTTATATCACTTAAGTTGAATATACAATTCATTTCATATTTCATATTTTGAGAGTTTTTCCCCTTAATTGTTTCAATCTTTTATTTTATTTTTTAGTAAAATTTGTTGTACGCGTCCTTACAAACACTTACATAGTAGGCTATATATCTATATATTTTATGTCTTGAAGTGATGAAGTATAGCCTACTGCTACAAACATGAGAAAACATAGCAACATAAAACATAATATCACGTTTCTCGTTCTCATTATTATTTATAAAACTGTTGTAAAGTAGCAACATTTATAGCTTTATAGCTTTGTAAAATTATATATATATATATATATATATATATATATATATATATATAGAAACGAATGTTAAATTAAATAACCATGGTCCTCAAAGTAAATACCAATTTTACAAAGCTAAAATTTCACTTTAACAAATATTCTCCAGATACAGCATCATTTCATTAAGATAAAAAAAAACAGTTATTTGTTAAAGCCTTGTTTGTGGCAGTTCTTAAAATTCAAACACCTGATTGAGGCAACCGACATTTTAAAAGCTAGTTAACACCTTTTCCCTCATCTAAAGCAGGAAAGTTTTTTTTTTTTTTTTTTTTTTTGTTCCTTAGAACTCTGAACATTTGCTGTAAAGTCCGTAAAGTTGACTTTGTCCAAATACCTTATAAATAAATATACGAAGAGTTCAGATGCAAAAGCCTCTAAATGCCATTTGAAATTTTCTTCTTTAATGATGATTTTTATCAAACTTGTATATTTAAGTTCAGTAATTTCACTTAAATAACAATTAATAGGTCATTATCATTGCCATTTAAGTGAAATCACTGAACTTAAATATACAAGCTTGATAAAAATGATCATTCTAGAAGAAAATTTCAAATGGCACTTAGAGGCTTTTGCATCTGAACTCTTCATACCTTATTTAATTATAATTAGGGCAGCAAACGTCGCGCTAGAAATATTAAATAGTTTCCCTTGTTTGATAGATTAATCCCCGGAACCTGTAATCAATAAATGTATGAAATGACATCATATAAAATAGATTTTTATTATTATTATTATTATTATTGCATTGCATATCTATTAAATAAGACATACATACGCACACAATTGCAAATTCCATAAAAGACGAGTTTGAAATGAATTTTTCTCCAAATTATAAAAATCATAACCTTTGGTGTTCTTCGCTCCGGTCTTGGTGGCCCGTCGGTCCCTCACATTTCAGAGGTGCTACAGGACACGGAGTTCTTTTGAAGGAAAGAGGCAGTGTTTGTTTAGACTCTCGAGCATCCAATGAACTGAAAGCTGCCTCCAAAAAAGCGCGTCCATCGTTCCTTTCCACCCAATGAGCGCCGTCGGGGGGTGGAGCTCAGGTGCGCGCCGCTGCGTCCACTTGGCAAAGAGCCTGGGAGACGCCTGTGGCAAAAGAGTAACTGTCAAATGCAAGGTTCCTTTAATAGGAGCGATCAGTCCGGCTCCGAGAGTCATGGCGACTACAGCATCCAATCATTACAATATCCTCACCTCCAGCTCATCTATTGTACACTCGGAGCCTGGGAGCATGCAGCAAGCTACGGCTTACAGGGACGCGCAAACCCTGTTGCAGAGTGACTACTCACTGCAGAGCAACAGTCACCCGCTCAGCCACGCGCACCAGTGGATAACAGCCTTGTCACACGGAGAAGGAGGACCGTGGTCGTCCAGTCCCCTCGGCGAGCAGGACATCAAGCCAGCGGTGCAGAGCCCCCGGGACGACATGCACAATTCCAGCAATTTACAGCATCAGTCGCGGCCACCCCACCTGGTACATCAGACGCACGGGAACCATCACGATTCAAGGGCATGGAGAACAACGACGGCAGCTCACATCCCCAGTATGGCCACTTCAAACGGACAGAGCCTTATTTACTCGCAGCCCGGCTTCAGCGTGAACGGTCTCCTCCCGGGTAGCGGCCAAAGCATCCACCACCACAGCATGCGCGACGCGCACGAGGACCACCACAGCCCGCATCTCAGCGACCACGGCCATCCACCGTCTCAGCACCAGCACCAGCCGCACCAGTCTCACCACGACCACTCGGACGAGGACACGCCGACCTCGGACGACTTGGAGCAGTTCGCGAAACAGTTCAAGCAGAGGAGAATCAAGCTGGGCTTCACGCAGGCGGACGTCGGACTCGCTTTGGGAACGCTGTATGGAAATGTGTTTTCGCAGACCACGATATGCAGGTTTGAGGCCCTGCAACTCAGCTTCAAAAACATGTGCAAGCTCAAGCCTTTGTTGAACAAGTGGTTGGAGGAGGCAGACTCCACATCTGGCAGCCCCACGAGCTTGGACAAGATAGCTGCGCAGGGGAGGAAACGGAAAAAGAGGACTTCCATCGAGGTAAGCGTCAAAGGGGCTTTGGAGAGCCATTTCCTTAAGTGCCCAAAGCCAGCCGCGTCGGAAATTACTTCACTGGCGGACAGTCTGCAGTTGGAAAAAGAGGTAGTGAGGGTTTGGTTTTGTAACAGGAGACAGAAAGAGAAACGGATGACTCCTCCCGGCGGACCTCTACCGGGTACCGAGGACGTATACGGAGACACGCCGCCGCATCACGGGGTTCAGACGCCAGTTCAGTGAGAGAGAGAGAAAACACAAAAACAATTCAAATTCAAGGACATATCTATCATATTGACTGCCTCAGTCTTCATTTATGATTATGTTCAAATTGGAACTATCCAAAGTGAAAGCAGCTGCGGTTTAGAATACTGAGGCGGGAGAGCAGATTATATCCGTCTTCAATGTTACTCAAAATTCGTACCGCTGCAACAGAGGGGACCGTGCGTTCCCCGCGCGAGCAAAGAGAACGGTTGTTCTGTGAATACCCAGCACTGTGAATAGACGCAGTTTTAAGGTGTAACCCTACTATTTATCAAACACTTTGAGACGAGCGAAATGTCTCTCAAATGCGAGCATGGGTGTCCCATAGACAGTTGTTTACATCTAGACACACTGCATTTTCTTTGACAGGATTAGCTCGAAAAGTGACTAGTGCTGCAGCATTTGACAAACATTTTTTTTACGCCATTTTTACTCTTGTTGTGTGCGACTGAGGGTCGATTAAAAAAAAAAAAACATCAGTGTGACATGCATCCACCCAGTCCTCAACAATTTTCTTGGGATCAAAGACCTCTAAACATCATCATTAATATTATCTTTATTAACATTATTTTGGATACAGCCAATGTACCAGTTCGCTTACTCAGAGAGTGAGGTGCAAGGTCACACTAAACAGATGTTGTAGCCTAGTCTTGGCGCCAAGAAATTAGTCTCACACAATTGATTCTGGTTGTATCCGTCTCCATTTTATCAATACGATGGGTCTAAATTGGACAAATAAAATGATACAGCATCAAACTTCTAGCATCAAGCTGCAGACTGGTCACCGAAGGGCTAGAATTAGAAACCTGGCATTTCCTTCGATTTAGTCATATTACCATAAAATACAATTGTTTCACAGGACTCCACACAGTGCTGTAAATATTGTATAATTTTTTAAAGGACATAGTTACGTTATTCTCTCACTTGAGCACTTTTTCGTGTTATTTTGAATTTGGAAAAGATTTTAGAGGCTTTTGTTTATTTTATTTTGGTCTCATTTGTTTGAACTTTATAGCTGGTAGCTATATTTTGCCTTTATATTTATAGTCATTTAGCCGAATTTTGCTTGCTATCTCTTGCGCGAGTCAGTTGCTTTTTAACCCACATTCAGCTGCTTTTTTATAAATTATGAGCTGACTTTACTATATGTTTATGTATAGTAAACAATGTTCAGTCTTCAACGATGTTAGCACTATTTTCTACCCAACGAATTCAATACTATTATATATCTGAATCATTTGAATGTCTTTTTTAATTATTTTGAAATAGAGATTATTTACACAGTATCGTGGAGAATGGGAAAATCAAGTGATGTGACCTGCAATATTTTCATTTGAAGTCAAACGAGTCTTCATTGTTCCATATGACAAAGCGTTTTTGTGTGTTTTATATTTCCATAATTTATCAAGCATCAATTTGAAACATAGCAGCACTATTATTATTATTATTATTAGGCTATTATTATTAAGAAATATTCTCCACGTTTACCCAACATCAGAGCTATAGTCTACATATAGTAAAAACTGTAATTGTTTGTTTTTTTGTTTAATTTTGTTTTTCTTTTTGTTTTTCTTTTTTCTTCTGCTTTATAGTTATTCGTTGTGTTAGTCCCGCGTTCGCTTTTATTGGGACACGATGCAGTGATGATTTACTGAAAATGTAAACACTGGAAGATTTGAAAAATGGTTACATTTTTCCAAGAGGCTTGCTTTACGTCACTATGTGTAAATACAATACAACAATCAGAAATTATTATTATTATTATTTATTTTCTTATTGTATTATTTTGCTTATATTTTAATTCACATTTTGTGTAGCCTAAATCTATTCCACAGAAATTCCAGGGTCATATTACTACCGTGCTTTTTCTTTTTTTTTTTCCAAAAGAAACATTTAGGCTACATAGATTAATTGATCAAACTGTCATGTAATTCTACAAAGATTGTGGAAGCTATTTATTTGTCGTTTTATTTCCTCTGTCAGAAAGACTCCATCAATCCTTGAACTGCATACATTTGTGGGTAAAATAAAATGCGCAGAGGTTGTGATAGAAATTTGTTTTATTTGTAGGCTAAATTATGTTTTTCTAAGTCGCAGAATCAAAACTGACATTGTATGTTGTCGGGTGTAAAAATTATGCGGGGGGTGTAAAAATGTAGTAGGCTATTTATTGACGTCTCGGTTGTTTTTTAACGAAATTTAAAAATGTAAAAACAGAAGTAACACAACAGTCTTGCGTTTTCAAATGTTGAAATGTCAGCTCATCTCAAGTGAAATTGAAACCGTGAAATGTGTAAACCACAACAAATACAAACCGAGAAGTTTTGTTTGTTTTCCCTGAAATGGGATAAATAGGCCGATAGCAACATTCTGAGATAATGAGGACTGACACTGCAAAGGCCTGTATTCTTGTGTTTAATAAAACACGATGAATTTTGTGGTAAAGGCAGTAGGCCTATGGAAAATGTTCGACCATTGTTTAGAAAAACTGAACCCTTCAATTAGGTATATTTTGGAACTAGAACAGTTATGAATGAAGTAGCCTATTTTGAAAGTGTCATTAATTTTGTGGCATCAAAACGTGGGCCTCGATATCCCCATATGGCATAGGCCTCATTTCTCGTATAGGCTATTTTGCGTATATTTGCTATTCTTGTTGCAAAGAATGCATTTACTTTTAGTATAATCTTGGCAATAATGGGCCATAAAAATACTATTTTACGGATCCAATGTGAGACATTACGCCGTCTTTGTAATGACCAATGATAGTGAATTGGGCTGCTCTTATATGAGTCTTCCGTGGTGCTTTGCATGGAAGTGAATCGTGCAAATTTCAATCTCTTTACAATTCAGAGAATATTTCAATAAAGTCAAGACATTCTTACATAATAAGGACAATTTACAGCTAGACTTAAAAAAAGTGATACAATTCTCCATATTTGAGGAAACATTTTAAGTCTAGAATTGAGTGTATTGAAATCGTGATTGTGTAAGAGCTTATCCTTATCCTCTAGTGCCACCTAGTGAGATTTTTTCTAGGACAGCTAAAGCAACATTGAATAAACGTAACAGCAGCACATGGCGATTGTAGCTCAACATTCTGGGGTTTTCTTTAATGCTCTCTGACCTCAGTAGGCAGCCATGTTCATTTGCACATTTATGTTACACACATCCTGACTCATAAGGAATCATAGCTGTTCCTGTTTTTTCCCCAAACTTTGGTTGAAAATATAAATATTTTGATAATTTTCTAAACTAAGTTTGCTGAGGTGTTAGGCAAACAAAGCACACGAACACTTGAAATTGTATTCTGTATCCAGTATTTAAAATGTCCACCAGATTAGCGTTCACATATAAGGCCTATAAATGTTTAATTTTTAACAAAACCTCTTTTAAACTTTATTAGACTTTGAAAAGTGCTTTAAAAATGTGACCTACCCAAACCTATGATGGGTAGGCTACATCTTTTATGTTAGCAAATTAATTATTTTGTGTTCATGTTTTAAAAATAATGTTAAAATTTACTGCAAAGGCAAGCACTACAGGTTTCGTTTATTCAAATTTGCTACTGAAACAATGTTAGGAATCAAGCATGCACAAATTAGGTGTTAATAAGATTCTGCAAACTGTTTTTTGTTACTAAATGATGAAACAGAAAATTTCAAATGCATATTGATGCTAAAACCATTGCAACAGGAGTGCATTGCCTCTACTAAATTACAGGGTCCAAAAGCTGACAGTGTTGTTAAGCTTTGTAGTGTTGATCTGTTTACAGGGGTGTAATGATAGTTTTCTGCATGTACTGACTAGCAATAGTTGTATGGAAATCATGAATCGTTTCATCTAATTAACTGCATCCCTCCAGGTCCTCAGGGCACATTAGAGCTCCTCAGTCCATCATTAAAGCAGACATAAACAATTCATTACATCACTGTTAGTCCAATGAGACTGTCACTGCCAGATGCAATATTAATACGCCCTTAAACTCAGAGGGATAAAGACTAAGGATGTTTTTGACTTTCAGTTTGACCAATCTAACTGGCGAAAATAGTATAGACCAACCGCATGCCAAACATAATCTGTGAGCAGTTTATTTTACAATCACAGAAAAGACGGAGCATGGTATTTTCAAGTGGAAAAAAGAACACAAAATATTAAGCCTCACTTTATTGAACCAAGACCTCATGAGTGTCACTCTCAGTCGCTCTGAAATAATGCAAAAAGCCCACTTCTTCCAAACAGCACAATTTTAATACAATATCCTAAATGACAACATTAATTCACTGTAACTACTGTAGAATTTAACATAAATTCAGTCTATTTAATGTTCAGTTGCTTCAAATTAACGTTAAGAGTTTGTTTACAGGGTGCTAGTGAAGAACAGGTATGTCAAATTGAAAGAACAATTAAAAAAATAGATATGGCACTTAAACTTTTACCAAAAGTATTAAACATTTTCTCCTTATCCTTGTTTTGACTTAAATAATTGTACATCTCTAAAGAAAACACAGCACTTGCCATCTGTGTTTTTCAAAATTAAAGTCTATTAAAAAAAAAGAAAAACCCTTTGGTTTAGGGTGTTTTTGGCAAATCGCAATTTAGCATAGCACAATACAGACGACCAGCAAATTTACAAAGCACTTCTCTCTTTAAACCTAAGGCACAAGGATATGTCATCTAACGGTTAGCATGCACCTGTGTAAAAGAAAATGTCAAGTTTTGCTATAGAGAAAAGCTTATGTTTTGGTATTTGCCCTATTGTGTCTGCATACAAGTGCATAACATGATTGACTCAAAATATGGGCAGTTTCACTCAAACTAGCTATTGCCACAAAAAGATTTCTGTGCCCACGATTCAAGTCAATGTGGCCCTGAATTTATAATCAGTCAATTAATAAATAATCATAGTACACCATGTTACTATTTCACAATATTCAACAGCGATTTGACGACATTTAACAATGCAAACAAAACATTGGTACCGATACACTTGAATAAGTATGTTTAAAACGAAACCCTTAGGCTGTAGTACAGCATACTACAAACGTCTCTCTGAAGACAAAAATAAAACCCTGAGATTAAGATCAAAAACTGAGGTTTGCTGAAATGTGTGAGATTCAATACATAGTGAGACCGTTCAAGCGGAGAGAGTGTGAAACATCCATAACATCTTCCAAGCGGCAGTTCACAGCTCTGTGCAGTTCAAGGCAGCAAGTCCACAGCACCAGAATGCACCACCCTTTTCCCAAGGGTCTTAAAGTCCGTCCCAAGAAGCTGCTCCTGCTCAGGAAGGCCCATCGAGTTTTACTGAGTGAAACTCTTCTTGATGGACACATTCGGGAAAAGGCCACTGAGCTCCTGGGCGAAGCGAGAGTCGATCTGCGAGCAGAAGGACACATCCAACAGCTTTAGCCGAGGACAACACTGCAGTAATTTCCGCAGAGATGCAGGGCTCACCATCCGTGTGCCTGAGAAAACAAAGAAAAGTTAAAGGTATAGTTCACCTGATTGCTGTGACATCATTTACTAGAACAGTAATTTTTTTTCAGGATACATTGAATAGAAAAAGAGCTTCACATTTTCACAAAAAGATTAAGCAGCACAACTGTTATCAACTTAGAAATGTTAGAATGATTTCTGAAAGATAATGTGACTGGAGTATAGGCTGCTTAAAATTCAGCTTTGCCATCACAGGAATAATGCTGCCTTCATGTGTTATCAGACATTTCCTAATTCCCACTTCTGGAGTTGTGATTACAAGCGCGCCGCGTTCAACTGCTTTGTTGTCGGAAATAATAGGGATCAAGGAGGACACCAGGTTTATTCTTGCCTGTTTCTTGGGGAAAAGCCTAAATGTATTGAAGATATTTAATTTGGAAGAAAATTTAGTTAGCAACCATTTAAACATTAACTGCGCCATCTATATAGTCAGCTTGCTGACAATTCTGAAATTTCAATTAAATACATGCTATTTTCAGTATAAAACATTCAATATGCCTCAAATGGTTAATCATATTTGTAAATATACACTTCTCTTATGACAAGACACGGCGACGTAGCGGTTGTGAAATAAACTAATAAAGAATACCAGTCACAGCTGCAATCCTTCTCCTCTCTGCCTCGTTTAACGTTTATGGCCCGCTCAACTCGGGAATCAAAATTATCAAGAGTAAGACGATAATTTTGCTGGAGAGGACGTTCATGTCCAAATTCCGATTGCGCGTGAGGGTAGCATTTATTACATTATAAAATACTTCATCCTGTGACCACAAAAACACTGAAATATTTTTAAAAACAGAACATTTTAAACAAAAAAAACACTCAACTCACCCAGAATATCAAGGTGCTCCAGAGCACTGCAGTTAGCGGCCAGCTCCTCCAGGTCAGCGTCACACACGGTGCGGTTGGCGGTGAGGAAGAGCTTGCGTAGGCGGGGCAAGCTGCGGGCCAAGTGCTGGAAGCAGCCGGTGCTGCTCTGAATCGTGGAGCACCAACCCAGGTCCAGCTCCTCCAGGAGCCTGCAGCCCGAAACCAGCTCCGCCAGTCCACGCTCGCTCAGGTTCCTGCAGCGCCACAGGTCGAGGGAGCGCAGAGAACGGCAGCGTGCGCTCAGCATGCTCGCCACAACATCATAGTCCTCAATCTGTGATAAAATCACCATGTAGCCACATTGAAGCACTCACCAATAACTGACCATCTCTAAGCTATACTATGTGCTGCATGTGAAGACACACAACCATACAATCCGATGTTCCTGTGGCTGAAATGGATTGAATACTGATTTGCATACTTAAAAATATCCAGATAAACATGCATGGATGCCTCCTTAAAAATAAAAATAGCACACCATACAGGTTGCTTTGATACACCATTTTTAATGTATTGTATTTGTAATTATTATTTTTGATACACTAAACATAATCTTGTATACTGCATAGCATGTAACATGTATTGCATGTATTGAGTTAAACATGGTTCTCATAATGCTACGACTATTTTTAAAGGGATAGTTCACCAAGATGTAGGTGTCTTTGTGTCCGCAGTTGTTTCAATTTTGATCTTTTAAGGTCAAACCGTTCGCATCTATCAGTCATATAATGCAGGTCTATGGTCACCACCTCAAAGAGCATGCACAGAGAAGTCCAAAGTAAACATGATTTAATGACTTTGATGGCCTAAGACACAAAACGAGCGGTTTGTGTGAGAAAACGAACAGTATTTACATTGTTTTACGTCCAAGTGATCTGAAGGTGCGGGCGCTTTGTGGCTGTGGTTACAAGAGGTAAAAACAATATAAATACTGTTTGTTTTCTTACACAAACCGCTCATTTCGTGTCTTAGGCCATGAATGTGTACTTATATTTACCTGTCATTAAATCATGTTTAATTTGGACTTCTCTGTGCATGCTCTATGAGGTGGTGACCATAGACCTTCATTATATGACTTACAGACAAGAACGGTTTGAACGGTTTTACTGCGGAAACATAAAGACACCTACATCTTGGATGCCCTTGAGGTAAGCTAAAACGTACCAAAAATTTATTTCAAAGTGAACTATCCCTTTAAGCGCCTTTTTTATGTTGCACCAGAACATCATTCAGTCATGTTCACCCATCTGCATATTTGATCTGTCCAGTAGACTCACCATGACACAGCTTCCCAGGTTAAGGTGCCTGAGCTCTGGGCAGAATGTGAGGATGCTCAACAAGGCTGACTGCTGCATGTGGAAAGAAATAAAACAGTGATAGTTAACACACATCACTAATGACCAGTGGTGGAATGTAACGAAGTACAAATACTTAGTACATTTTTCACGTATCTTTACTTTACTTAAGTAGAATAAATAGCGCATACTTTTTACTTTTACTTCGTTACATTTTGCAGCAATTATAATACTTTCTACTCCACTACATTTCTACAACTTCTGTTACATTTTCGTTACATTTTCTGATCAGTTTTTCCCCTGCCAAAACGTAATCTGACCGTCCGTCCGTTGCACGTTTGTCTCACAGTGACGTTTGGTTGCCATAGAGCCTCCATTTTTGTACTCAGGTCTAAATCCCATGGCCCTCTATCAGAATCCAGAGTTTCAAGAAGATCAGAGAAACTCAAAATTTCGACCCCCCCCCCCCCCCAAAAAAAAAAAAAAACGACAGTGTTACCCCTGTCGGTTTTTTTTGTGCGAAAAAAATATGTTTCTCCAATCTTCTTGAAACTCTGGATTCTGAAAGATGGCCATGGGACTTAGACCTGAGTGCAAAAATGGAGGCTCTAAACCTTTCCAGAGCTGAGATATTGAGATATTTATAATGGCATAAATGCTACATGGTATCTCAATATCTCAGCTCTGCAAGGGTCTAGAGCCTCCATTTTTGCACTCAGGTCTAAATCCCATGGCCCTCTATCAGAATCCAGAGTTTTGAGAAGATTAGGGAAACTTCATTTTTAGCCCAAAAAAAATAAGGGGTAACACTGTCGTTTTTTTTTTCAGGTCAAATTTTTGACTTTCGACATCTCAGCTCTGGAAGCATCTATAGCCTCCATTTTTGCACTCAGGTTTAAGTCTCATGGCCCTCTATCAGAATCCAGAGTTTTGAGAAGATTAGGGAAACTTCATTTTTCGCCCAAAAAAACAACAACGTAAGGGGTAACACTGTCGTTTGTTTTTTTTCGGGTCGAATTTTTGAGTTTCGATATCTCAGCTCTGGAAGGGTCTAGAGCCTCCATTTTTGCACTCAGGTGAAAGTATCATGGCCCTCTATCAGAATCCAGAGTTTTGAGAAGATTGGAGAAACGTAATTTTTTGCCCGAAAACGAAAAAAAAACGAAAGAGGTAACACTGTCGTTTTTTTTTCGGGTCGAAATTTTGAGTTTCGATATCTCAGCTCTGGAAGGGTCTAGAGCCTCCATTTTTGCACTCAGGTCAAAGTCTCACAGCCCTCTATCATAATCCAGAGTTTTGAGAAGATTGGAGAAACTTAATTTTTTGCCCGAAAACGAAAAAAAAAACGAAAGGGGTAACACTGTCGTTTTTTTTTCGGGTCGAAATTTTGAATTTCGATATCTCAGCTCTGGAAGGGTCTAGAGCCTCCATTTTTGCACTCAGGTCAAAGTCTCACAGCCCTCTTTTAATAATTCAGAGTTTTGAGAAGATTGGAGAAACTTAATTTTTCCCCCGAAAACGAAAAAAAAAACGAAAGGGGTAACACTGTCGTTTTTTTTTCGGGTCGAAATTTTGAATTTTGATATCTCAGCTCTGGAAGGGTCTAGAGCCTCCATTTTTGCACTCAGGTCAAAGTCTCACAGCCCTCTATCATAATCCAGAGTTTTGAGAAGATTGGAGAAACTTAATTTTTCGCCTGAAAATGAAAAAAAAACGAAGGGGGTAACACTGTCGTTTTTTTTTCGGGTCGAAATTTTGAGTTTCGATATCTCAGCTCTGGAAGGGTCTAGAGCCTCCATTTTTGCACTCAGGTCAAAGTCTCACAGCCCTCTATCATAATCCAGAGTTTTGAGAAGATTGGAGAAACTTAATTTTTTGGCCGAAAATGAAAAAAAACGAAAGGGGTAACACTGTCGTTTTTTTTTCGGGTCGAAATTTTGAATTTCGATATCTCAGCTCTGGAAGGGTCTAGAGCCTCCATTTTTGCACTCAGGTCAAAGTCTCACAGCCCTCTATCATAATCCAGAGTTTTGAGAAGATTGGAGAAACTTAATTTTTCGCCCGAAAATGAAAAAAAACGAAAGGGGTAACACTGTCGTTTTTTTTTTCGGGTCGAAATTTTGAGTTTCGATATCTCAGCTCTGGAAGGGTCTAGAGCCTCCATTTTTGCACTCAGGTCAAAGTCTCACAGCCCTCTATCATAATCCAGAGTTTTGAGAAGATTGGAGAAACTTAATTTTTTGCCGAAAATGAAAAAAAACGAAAGGGGTAACACTGTCGTTTTTTTTTCGGGTCGAAATTTTGAATTTCGATATCTCAGCTCTGGAAGGGTCTAGAGCCTCCATTTTTGCACTCAGGTCAAAGTCTCACAGCCCTCTTTCATAATCCAGAGTTTTGAGAAGATTGGAGAAACTTAATTTTTAGCCCGAAAACGAAAAAAAACGATAGGGGTAACACTGTCGTTTTTTTTTCGGGTCGAAATTTTGAATTTTTGATATCTCAGCTCTGGAAGGGTCTAGAGCCTCCATTTTTGCACTCAGGTCAAAGTCTCACAGCCCTCTATCATAATCCAGAGTTTTGAGAAGATTGGAGAAACTTAATTTTTCGCCCGAAAATGAAAAAAAACGAAAGGGGTAACACTGTCGTTTTTTTTTTCGGGTCGAAATTTTGAATTTCGATATCTCAGCTCTGGAAGGGTCTAGAGCCTCCATTTTTGCACTCAGGTCAAAGTCTCACAGCCCTCTTTTAATAATTCAGAGTTTTGAGAAGATTGGAGAAACTTAATTTTTCGCCCGAAAACGAAAAAAAACGAAAGGGGTAACACTGTCGTTTTTTTTTCGGGTCGAAATTTTGAATTTTGATATCTCAGCTCTGGAAGGGTCTAGAGCCTCCATTTTTGCACTCAGGTCAAAATCTCACAGCCCTCTATCATAATCCAGAGTTTTGAGAAGATTGGAGAAACTTAATTTTTCCCCCGAAAATGAAAAAAAACGAAAGGGGTAACACTGTCGTTTTTTTTTTCGGGTCGAAATTTTGAATTTTGATATCTCAGCTCTGGAAGGGTCTAGAGCCTCCATTTTTGCACTCAGGTCAAAGTCTCACAGCCCTCTATCATAATCCAGAGTTTTGAGAAGATTGGAGAAACTTAATTTTTCGCCCGAAAACGAAAAAAAACGAAAGGGGTAACACTGTCGTTTTTTTTTCGGGTCGAAATTTTGAATTTTGATATCTCAGCTCTGGAAGGGTCTAGAGCCTCCATTTTTGCACTCAGGTCAAAGTCTCACAGCCCTCTATCATAATCCAGAGTTTTGAGAAGATTGGAGAAACTTAATTTTTCGCCTGAAAATGAAAAAAAAACGAAAGGGGTAACACTGTCGTTTTTTTTTCGGGTCGAAATTTTGAGTTTCGATATCTCAGCTCTGGAAGGGTCTAGAGCCTCCATTTTTGCACTCAGGTCAAAGTCTCACAGCCCTCTTTTAATAATTCAGAGTTTTGAGAAGATTGGAGAAACTTAATTTTTTGCCCAAAAACGAAAAAAACGAAAGGGGTAACACTGTCGTTTTTTTTTCGGGTCGAAATTTTGAATTTTGATATCTCAGCTCTGGAAGGGTCTAGAGCCTCCATTTTTGCACTCAGGTCAAAGTCTCACAGCCCTCTATCATAATCCAGAGTTTTGAGAAGATTGGAGAAACTTAATTTTTTGGCCGAAAATGAAAAAAACGAAAGGGGTAACACTGTCGTTTTTTTTTCGGGTCGAAATTTTGAATTTCGATATCTCAGCTCTGGAAGGGTCTAGAGCCTCCATTTTTGCACTCAGGTCAAAGTCTCACAGCCCTCTATCATAATCCAGAGTTTTGAGAAGATTGGAGAAACTTAATTTTTGCCCGAAAATGAAAAAAAACGAAAGGGGTAACACTGTCGTTTTTTTTTCGGGTCGAAATTTTGAATTTTGATATCTCAGCTCTGGAAGGGTCTAGAGCCTCCATTTTTGCACTCAGGTCAAAGTCTCACAGCCCTCTATCATAATCCAGAGTTTTGAGAAGATTGGAGAAACTTAATTTTTCGCCCAAAAATGAAAAAAACGAAAGGGGTAACACTGTCGTTTTTTTTTTCGGGTCGAAATTTTGAATTTCGATATCTCAGCTCTGGAAGGGTCTAGAGCCTCCATTTTTGCACTCAGGTCAAAGTCTCACAGCCCTCTATCATAATCCAGAGTTTTGAGAAGATTGGAGAAACTTAATTTTTCGCCCGAAAATGAAAAAAAAACGAAAGGGGTAACACTGTCGTTTTTTTTCGGGTCGAAATTTTGAATTTCGATATCTCAGCTCTGGAAGGGTCTAGAGCCTCCATTTTTGCACTCAGGTCAAAGTCTCACAGCCCTCTATCATAATCCAGAGTTTTGAGAAGATTGGAGAAACTTAATTTTTCGCCCGAAAATGAAAAAAACGAAAGGGGTAACACTGTCGTTTTTTTTCGGGTCGAAATTTTGAATTTCGATATCTCAGCTCTGGAAGGGTCTAGAGCCTCCATTTTTGCACTCAGGTCAAAGTCTCACAGCCCTCTATCATAATCCAGAGTTTTGAGAAGATTGGAGAAACTTAATTTTTCGCCCGAAAATGAAAAAAAACGAAAGGGGTAACACTGTCGTTTTTTTCGGGTCGAAATTTTGAATTTCGATATCTCAGCTCTGGAAGGGTCTAGAGCCTCCATTTTTGCACTCAGGTCAAAGTCTCACAGCCTCTATCATAATCCAGAGTTTTGAGAAGATTGGAGAAACTTAATTTTTCGCCGAATGAAAAAAAAAACGAAAGGGGTAACACTGTCGTTTTTTTTTCGGGTCGAAATTTTGAATTTCGATATCTCAGCTCTGGAAGGGTCTAGAGCCTCCATTTTTGCACTCAGGTCAAAGTCTCACAGCCCTCTATCATAATCCAGAGTTTTGAGAAGATTGGAGAAACTTAATTTTTTCGCCGAAAAATGAAAAAAAACGAAAGGGGTAACACTGTCGTTTTTTTTTTCGGGTCGAAATTTTGAATTTGATATCTCAGCTCTGG